GGGGGTGATTTTACACTAGCAGGTATCTGTTATGTTGATTCATGTGAAATGCAGTTCTGAGTATTTCCTGCAGGGCAGCTCTGGTCATGGCAAATTCTCTCAGTGTTTGCTTGCTTGGAAAAGACTTAATTTCTCTATCAATTGTGAAACTTAGTTTTGCAGGCTAAAAAATTCTAGGCTAGAAGTTTTTCTTTTCAAAAAGATTAAGATGGGGCTCCAGTCCTTTTTGGCTTGTAACATTTCTGCTGAGAAATCATCACTTAGCCTCATAGTTTATCCTTTGGAGGTTACTTGTTGCTTTCTTCCTGTTAGTTGTAGAATTTTTCCTTCATTTTTACATTGACCATGTTGATTACTATGTGTCTTGGAGATGTTCCATTTGCTTTGAATCTTCAAGGAAGGTTTTTTCCTCAGTGGTTCCCTCAAATAGATCTTCTGTATCTTTAGCTCTTTCTTCTTCTCCATTAGGAATAGATTTGAATATCTACTTTACACAGTCCTGCATCTCTATAATTTGAATATCTGCTGCTTTACACAGTCCTGCATCTCTCTCAGTGAGTGCTCAGAATTTAATGTACTCTTCTCTACCTCTATTGACTGTGTACCTCAAGAGCCTGGTGTTTAAGTTCTGAGATTCTTTCCTCTTCTTGGTTTATTGTTTAAGCTATTCTTAACTATTGTTTAAGATTTGTTTAAGCTTTCTGCTGTATTTGAAATTCCACAAATGACTCTTTCATTTCTTAAGTTCTGTTATATCTTTTCTTATGTTGTCTAGGTCTGACTTTACACTAATTTTCTAAAAAAAAATTGACTTTTTTTATGTTTTGGTTTTCAACTTTCTCTTCAGTTCTTTTCATCCTATTTGCGATCCATATTCTAAATTCCATTTCTGTCATTTTGGATATTTCCCTGTGGGTGGAGTCCACTTCTGTATCTTCATTATAATCCATTAGGGGCCATAGTATTTTTTGTTTCTGTGTTGCCAGGGTTCTCTTGCTGGTTTCTTCTGGTCTGGCTCCTCTTCTCTTGGCTCTGGGTAGTAGGTTTGCAAGGCACTTGTTTCCTTTGCTGGTAACTCTTCGGTTAGTGGATGGGGAGTCCCCCTAGATGGAGCTTCTATGCCCTACTCTGGAATGTTGACCCATTTAGGGAGAGGTGGGTGCACTGAGAACTTGTAGAACAGCGGTTCTGTTTTGACCCATTCTCCTGTGATTGGCACAGTTGGAGCATGTGCTGGACAATATTCATGAGGGATGGAAGGTTGTTCCCCAGCTCAATGTTGAAAGTTTGAGTTGGCAGCTGCTGTTTGGGGGGATTGCTTTGGCCAGGGTCACCTAGTGGAGGTGATGGTAGCAGCTGGATGTGTCTACTTAGGAAGTTGTCGTGGATGATCAGGCTGTGGACATTTGCATGAACTAGGTCCCAGAGTAATGGCTGGTCAAGGTTGGTGGGTCCAGGATGAACTGCTGGACGTCAGGGAAGTTCCACTATTCCAACAGCAGTAATGGAGACTCCGGGGTGAGGTCTTAGGGCCTAGGCATAGCCTTGAAATCTCAGGTTTGGTGTCACAGGCTCAGTGGGAGCCTTGAAGCTACAAGGGGAAACTCTTGGACTTGGGTGCCGCAAGAGCTGGCTCTTGGGATTATGGCACAGAACCGCACAGATGGAGAGCCATTCTGCCACTGTGGAGACTGCTGATGCCCAGTCACGCAGGCAGGGGTATGTCTCAGTAGCCCAGGGACTGTATAGGTGGGCTGGAGCTTCTGGTGAGCCAAGGTTCTTCCCTACTCTCTGCCTAGGACCTGCTTACGCAGTTGCCCAAAGCTTCCTGGGTGGTACCTGTGGCATTTGAGGCTCCTCTGCTCAGATCTCACACCAGCGAGGAGTCATGCTCAACACCCAGTTACCAGGGAATAGCACAGGGGAGTGTCTGTTCTGGCTGCTCTCTCCCTGGCCTGGTGGGTGCGGTGCAAAATCTTTTCCTAGAAAGCTGACTCATGAGTGGACCTGGTGCCATGCATCACAGCAGTCAAGATGGCATTGGCTGCAGATTCCAAGGATTGGCAGCTACCAGATCTCTGCTTCGTCTGCTGTCTGATGTGTTGTCTCTGCATAGGCTTTGCACAGCTCCCCAGTCAGCCCAGAGGTCTGCAGTAAAGGAAGGTGACCCCTCACAGCTCAGGCTGACGACAGCTTTTATTCCTCTTCTATATAGCAGTGCTCCCTTGGGCTGCTCCTATTCTGTGGTCTTCCCCTTTCCACAGTGGTGTGAATTTTTCTGGGACTCCCACCTTGAGCACTGAGGTGGCAGGTGGTGCTTGCAATGTTTGATTGAGTCAATAGATGCTGTAATGGGCTGCACGGTTTTCTATCCATAGTTGGTGCTTGCAGAAAAGAACCAACTACAGTGATATTCTTTTGTGCTTATAATAGGCTCTAGCCAAGTATTTTTCAACCTTTTTTATCTGAACCTGTAAACTTTTATGGCACACTTAAATTATGTTGATTAAAAAAAAAAGAGTAAAAGAAAGAATATACTTACTGTGATTTGAACTTCTTTTGAAAATAATGATTTTTAAAATTTTTCACAGTATACTAGTTGAAAATCACTGCTCTAGCCCCTCAGGAGAAGCGCCTGAATGTTCCATGCAGTGGGAGGGGCCCTATATCTCCCAGGGGATTGCTTGTTCTCCACCACAGCAAATGTGGGTGAAAGTGAGAGGCTCGGTGCTCCACCAGTTTACTGCAGCTTGGACCCACACTATACTCTCCCATCAGTTCTGCCTACATGGGCTCCCTCACCTCCCAAGTTTAGTTCTCAGATTTCTCCAGTGTGTCTCCAAGTAACCTGGTCAAGTCGTGGGCATACAGAATCTAGCCTACGTTGTCTGTCCCACTGGTAGGTGCCTCTGGGGATTGTGGTAGGCAGGGAAGTTTTGGACAGGGCATCCCTGAGTCCAGTGCAGGTCCCCAAGGGGAAAGGTGTGGGCCCTACTCTCTCAGAGTGGTAGGTGCACTGGCAGAGGGGTAGTGGCTACTTGTGAAAGTCTTGGCTCAGTCAGCCCTCTGGGCTGGAACAGGGTGGGGGAAGAAGAGAGTTTGGATGGAAGAGAGCTGGCACCCTAGCTCTTCTACACCATCTCCTTGGAGGGAAGCCCATACAGAGTGTCCAAGCCCTGGGATCACACAGGTTTTCTGGACCCCACTACAGGTGTTGGGAACTGTCTATGTGGGAACAGATGATGTGAAAAATTAAGGCCTGGAGCTCCCTTAGTTGTTAAAAGGACACTACAGGTAGAGAAGTAGTGTGGTCAGCAGCGCTTGGGCTTCCAAGCAGCTTGGCAGCCCTCTGACTACCAGAGGTGTGTGGGAAGGAGAAACAAAATCCCCATCTAACCCCCTCAAGGGGCTCTGGGCCTCTCTGAGGTTGATCTTTGCCGGTATCTTGTTTTCTTCCTGTTGTCCTTTACAATTTCTTTCCATGAAGTCTCTGGCGGGCTCTGGCACCTTTCCCTCTAAACTACACCTGAGCTATACCCATTTCCACCTCTCCTTTATCTGAAACTCTTCCTTCTTGCTGGGATGATCTGGCAGCTGTTGTCTCTAGTTGACCATCTTGGCCCCCACCACCACCATACTAGGCTAATTTTTTGTAGAGACAGCATCTCACTGTGTTGCTCAGGCTGATCTCAAACTACGGGTCCCAAGCTTTCCTCCCACCCAGGCCTCCCAAAATGTTAGGGTTGTAGGAATGAGCCATTGCACCCACCCTGGATCATTTCTTTAAGTGTAGTCACCTAGGCACTGGTGACAAACCAGTCCCACTTACTCTTTTGAGCTACCTCAATGAGTCTGTGAGGCCAAGTCCAGCAATTTGTTGCAAGAGCTCCAGAAGGCCGCCTCCTGTCAGCCACCCTCTGCTTCCACTAAGCAATTTTACTTCTTCAAATATCAAGGTAGTGTGAATGGGTGATGGTTTTATGCTTTCCTTTTGTAAACATATTATTGTAATAAAAGGGAAGGCTTGCTTTTAAAATGTTGTTCTATTGCATTTAAGTCAACTTTTATAGCTGGTGTCAGAATCATACAGCAAATTAGTAACTTGCTTTTTGGCATTTTAGACTTAAAAGCAAAACTGATCACGTAGAGAGGTTTGGGGAAGCTCAGCAAGAGCAGCGATGTGCTGCGTGTGTGCTGGCTCCCTCCCAGACGTGCCTCCCGCGTGCCCACTGCATTGCGTCACTCTGTCACTCCGTGCCTGGCTGCTGACGGCACGTTTTCCAGTTTCTTTAGCTCAGTGGCAGGTCTTTGTCTTGTGTTGCACGGAGTGGTTTCCTGTTCTGACCTTTCCTCTTTCTCCTTCTCCAGCTAAAACAGTCTTTTCAAAAAGGGTGGTTTGACACCTTTGAGAACTTGCCAGCTCTGGTTCATGTGGTAATTTGGGCAGACACGTTGCCAGTGAGCCAATTAGTAGTTTTGTCTGACCCTTTCCTATTTCTCCATCACATTCAGAACTTACCACTTTTAATTGGGGTTAGACCCTAATTATCTAACACTTCATTTTTTCTTTTTCAGGTACAGGATTATTACGGAAATAAAATTTGTGACCCCTATGCTTGGCTGGAAGACCCGGACAGCGAGCAGACAAAGGTAATTTTGGCTCGTAATCAAAGAAAAGGCAGTCTTGGTAGCTAGCACCAAACTTTGGGTGTCAGTAACTATAGCTTTTTTTTCCTGATGTCTTCCTGTGTTTTCTGCCATGGGGTGGTGGTACATCACTTTTTATCAAATGATTCACAAGGAAAAGATGAAAGTGTACGTAGTCCCAGAGAAAAGCACGTGACTGTTTTGAACGGTGTTCATGGTTTATAGTGGAACCAGCTGCAGTAGAACCTGCATAGCTGACCTCCTCCCTACATTGACCACCTCCTTGAGTTGACCTAATTTTCATAGGCCGGACATGCACCACATAGGTGTATCAGTTTGTACATGTTACATGATTATGTAATGTTAAGAATGAAGGTTGAATCATCCTTTCCAAAAAAAAGAATCCATCTTTTTCTGTTTCTTATTGTAAGTGTAAGTGGAGAAAGCACTCTCCACTCTGACTACATCACTCAGCACACCTGGGCGTTTGCCCACAGCTAATGACTTCAGCTGCACTGTCAGATGTGGACATCCTCCTCCTCTTTTGTAGTCTCTGCAGTTGTTGTGTCATCCTCACTTCTTCCGCTTCCTCAGCTGTTTCGTGTACTTTTGTCCTGCTCTGTCCTTTAATCAATATTGCTTGAAAAATTGCTTCTGGGTCAGGTTCATTACAGGTTGTCACCTCATCATCTATTGCAGCAAAACCTTCAAATCTACTTCTTCAGATTCTGCCATCAGAGATGGACTGTCTTATGCAGAGGGTGGCATCCAGAGTGTTAGCTGATGGCAGTGGATGACGTTGCTTCCACAGGCAGACCACAGGCCTGTGCTTGGGTGATGACCCGCTGCTGGAGCTGGGCTCCCGCTAGTGTTGTGATGATGCCTTGGTCAAGAGGCTGGATTTCTGAGGTTGAGCTTGGCGGCAGAGATTTCAGTGTCACGTTTGTTGATTTACTTGCAGGTGGCCAGGACAGTTGTCTGTTTCTTCTTCTTCTTTTAAATAGACCTTTTCTTCTTCTTCATTTCTCACTTAACACCCCTTACCCACTCCTCAGGTAGGGCACCAGTCATCCATTTGCATTTGTTTGATCTACAAGTGATAGGAAGGTCTTCAGGTTCTTAAATGCACATGGCTTTGCCAATTTACCAATCACCAAGGACTTTAGTTTCTCTCTGGTTGAGCTGGTGCAAAGCAGAACCGTGAAATGTTCTTTGGAAAGTTTTCCACTCTTACATTTGTCACCCTTCATGAAGAGGCTCCTGTCAAGTATTGTCTTGAAAAGAGTCGGCACTCTTGGCATGAAAGGTGCTGTCATCTTTGAGGCCTCTGGCGAAGTCTGGAAACTTTTTGATGAACTCTTCCACAACTTCCACTGGAATTTCATGGGATTTACCACATAAGACTTTCTGGGAAGTCTTGTGTCACCATTTAAATTTCTTGAGCCAAGGGTACATGTTGGATCAATTAAGTATAGAGTATGAATGTCTTAACACAATAATTAAGTAACCGTGATGAGGTATATATTAACCAGTGTGATGTAAGCATTCCTAATTGTATATGAAATCAGCACATCATACCCCATAAATGCATTAATGTATATGTGATCTATGTGTTTATGATTTAATAAAAAATAAAAATAAAATAAATTGCTTGAGCCTACCACTTGATGTTTAGATACCCTGTTTCCCCAAAAATAAGACACTGTCTTAATATTTATTTTTTCTCAAGAAGACACACTTGGCTCCGCGCCTATGGCTCAAGTGGCTAAGGCGCCAGCCACATACACCTAAGGTGGCAGGTTCAAATCCAACCCAGGCCCGCCAAACAACAATGATGGGCGCAACCAAAAAAATACCCAGGCATTGTGGCGGGCACCTGTGGTCCCAGCTACTTGGGAGGCGGAGGCAGGAGACTCGCTTGAGCCCAGGAGTTGGAGATTGCTGTGAGTAATGCCACAGCACTCTACCCAAGGGGACAGCTTGAGACTTCATCTCAAAAAAAAGAAGACACACTAGGGCTTATTTTTAGGGGATGTCTTCCTCTCTGCACCAAAATGCATGGCGTAGCTATACAGATACACTGCATAGCCTCGCCCGTCACTAGGTCTTCTTATCGGGGGAGGGCTTATATTTAACAAATGCATAAAATCCTGCTAGGGCTTATTTTTTTGGGTAGGTCTTATTTTGGGGGAAACATGGTATGCCACCCTGCATTCTTGTGCAAAGTTTTTAGCAACTTCTACGATCAGCAGGCCAGAGAGTTGGGTGTTACCTGCCCTCATTTGTTTGAGCCAGCTAATGTGACTTCCCTGACTTCATAGAAGGAAGTTTTCCTTTTTATCTCTCCAAGTACTCATGTTTACATTTTTGGATGCTTCTGTCTCTCTAAAACCGGAATATTCCTTTGTCCTTCTTTGTTGCTTTCCAAAAAATGTAGGTCAACTGCTTTCCAGAAAATGTAGATCAACTGCTTTCCAGAAAACGTAGATCAACCTTTCCTTCAGTGTTAATTCTGTGAGTTCTCCTTTGGATCCTCAATTGAATCACATCTCAGTTAACTATAACATATTTCAGTCACTGTAGGATGTATCTACAATTCAGACCAGTCCTTCACATTGGAAAAAATCTTCCATAACACATGATAAATCATAGGATGCTGGGCCTAATCCGATATGTTAGTAGTAAAACATGAAGAAAGAACTTGTACTAAGTAATAAGTAATGCAACTGAGGGGCAAAGCTCCCACCTTCAACTGGTCAAGTTATAGAGGGTAAATGAATATTGTGTGTCACAGTCCAAGTGGTCAAATATAACTTATAGAGGTGGTCAGTACATAGAGGTCAGGCTTCCATTGAGCACACAGGTGGTTCATGTCTGACCCGTGAAAATAAGATCAACTTAAGGAGGTGAATTGGGAATTCCATTTCCCATTAAAAAAAATAGTATTAAATGCACTCTCGGCAGTTTTCTGGGCCAGCTCAGAACCTGTGTCTTGTATCACCATGTATTCTGGTGCTCGCTGGAGAGCTCAATTCATATTTGCCAGGAAAGCATCCCATCCTGGTGGGGGCCTGGCTTGTGGCATTGGGATTCTTGCCTTGCCCGTCTCCCCACCATGACAAGCAAAGGAGTTGGGTAAAGAGGGAGGCAGAGGCCAGCGTGGCCCCCGCTCTGCTTCCTGTGTTCTCGTGCCTCCTTCCCCTCGACCACCCTAACCTGGACTTTGTGACTGTTCTCTCCTCCTCTGCCCACTGCAAAGCTCTCACAACTTTTATTTTATCCTTTTGTCCCTGAAATGAGCACACTCATTTTGAGATTTTCCAGCGGTTTTTCTTTATATCTGCAACCCTAAGTTCTCTCCCTTTCCTAATTTCAAACTTACAAGAAAAACAAAGTCTCCTGAGAGTGATAACTGAGTTTTAGTTTTCTTTTATGAATTACGGGGTTGCAGGGGTGGTTGGGTAAAATTCCAAAGGGAGCGACAGATGAGCATCTCAGGAGTGGTGAAGGCTCTAGCCCTGTAGATAAGACTTAGGGGAATGGGGACCAGGTGTGGGGTGGGGGCACGTCCTCACTGCCTCTCTGCCATGGAGCACCTTGGCTGCCCAGCACGGGCCTGGCTGAGACAGAAGGGTTAGATTAGCGATGGGGAGTCACAGGCAGCTGCATAGCCTGTGAAGGGTAAGAAGCACCAGGGAAGAGAATGAGCCTTCTGTGCGTCTCACAGTTTCTTGGCCTCAGGTTTTTGGTACAGCCTGGATTTCTTCAGGCTTTGATGGTGATTGAGTGAGTTAACACTGCCAGAATGACCCGGTTTTTATGGGTTAATGAATGCACACTTTTCTGTTCTTAGTTGATAATGACTGGTTATTAGTGGATCTCAAGCTTCCAATTAGCTCATGAAGCTTTGCTAATTAGTGATCCAACAGTCAGCCCTTGATAGAAGATGACATTGGGCGTACACTTATTTTCGTGGTAAAATGTTCAATAAGGTGTATTGAATCCACCATATTCAAATCATTTCAACATGTCATCCATGTAAAATCTCTGAATGTTTTTCAAGCTAAGTTTTCAAACTTCAGTGTGCAGTGTGTTGACAGCACATCTCAATTCAGATAAGCCACATTCCAGTTGCTCAAGAGCCTCCTGTTATTGTGCAATGAGGATGGGAACCAGCCTTTCTTGTAGATGGAAGGAACGTACTACATAAAAGCAGGATTTATCGTAGGAATTCAAGAACAGTGTAAGAGAATAAACCATAATTATCCAATTGATACTAAAAAGAAATTAAAATCCAAAACTAAAAGTAGGACTAACTGGTTGAACAAAGACGGCAAACATTATTCACAATAACAGTGGAACACTACACTAGAAACTTCCCTGTCACTACTGGGTTTTGTGTGTTTTGCTGAACTTTGACCCATGTGATAAGACATGAACCAAAATTTGGTGGGGAAGAACATAAAATTACTTCAGTTGTAGATTGTACGATTTTGTCTCCAGAAAATAATCAAATATTATTAGAGCTAATGAGTTTAAGCAAGTAGCTAGGTACAAAATAAATATGTAGCAGTCATTTATACCATCGATAATGAAAAAAATAACTCATTTGATAGCAACAACCAGCAAATACCTGAGAATGAAGAGGATATTTCAAGCCTATTGGGATGGCAGTTATGTCCCTGTCAGAAGTCGGAGACACAGGAAAGGGCTAGTCAGGGGCATTATTTGCGTTAGTGAAAAATTGAAAATCATTTTCAACCATGGATAATAATAGGGTGTCTACTTGATGAAATGGTATGAATCTATTAAAATGTGCTATCAAGATTTTTTACTCATGAAGACGTGCTTATGGGAGAATGTTAAGTGTAGGAAAGGTAATTAATAAGCTTGGGGTGCTCTGGATTATTACAGCTTAAAAAATAACTTTGTAGAAACTGTTCTGAGAAAATCTGTATGGAAATACAAACTAAAAGCCCTGGGTTAGATGCACTTTAGACACC